GTCACCCACTAATAATATATAGCTCTGTACGAGTATAATTCTCTCACGAACTTCAGCAGGAAGTGAAATGATATGGGCGTGGTAAGTCACAATTAAGAAAAAGCGTAACACGGTGTGAACCAGGATTGAGCATTCAATCCAGATATTCCCACCATTTTACGCACCGAAAATCTCGATTCGGTTCTCTCTCAACTTCCGCAAAGAAGTGGTTCCACAAAGTAACTTTGTATCAATTACATGTATTGAAGTGTGACTAGTTCACAGACCATTGTTTTATTGTTTCTATCAATTAACCCACTCTTCTTAATTTTGATAAGTAACGAGTCAAATAAATTTATATGTGCAAATTGAAACTGCTTATTATAATTAATGTTTTTGTTTACACATGATGCGAAACGCACTAACAATTGCTTCCTTGCGTTTCTTCCATCCTGAATTTAAGATTACAAAACCCCGATGATAATAATAAAAATCTTTAAACTTTTTCATTATTAACAGATTCATAAGATGATTTCCTTTCGCCTATCAAAAAATATCAATTTCCCGTTACGTACACGGAAGGCCAAGATGTGTTCTCTGGTTCGTTATAGTCCTGCCGCAAAGCTCAGATGTTGGGCGGGCGGCAGATCATGCAGGCGCATTGCCTGTAAGCGTTTCCTTCCTTCATCAGAGTTGCTCATTATGTTTGAAAGGTCAAAATATTTTTATGCATTTTCATTTACATTTTTACACTTACATTATACATTTTTACTTTTCTCTTAGATTAAATATTTTTTTAAAAAATACATTCAAAGGGAGGAGTAATAGGAAGCAGCAAACCATGAAATGACTTCTCACACATGCTTGACAAACGAAATCGGTCAAGTTGATGTCGGTTGAAATCAAACAAGTCAAATAGATGACCTTTCAAATAAACGGTATATGGAACGCCTTTGATATTCCCTTCGAAATTAATTATTATTATTTTTAAATTATTTTTATTTGAGAGAAAACCAACGTCGAAAAAAATTAATTATCGCACAATTTCGCTTAAATTAAAAAACTTCCTTATAATTGCTTGTCCACTTGGTGAGGCAATAATGCGCCATCTTCCCCACCCCCACAAAATAGTATAAATAAGTAAAAATGCTCCTCCCATGTGTGCAACCGTTCGGGTCTCTCAAGAAAAAACTAGAAAAAATCCTCTAGCTTGTAAGTAAGTATGGAATTTTGTACATTGATTACGTTTCAAATGCAACATCTAAATAATCGAAAATTCCGAAAGCTAATAGTACTACTAAATCAACATTATATTTTGATAGTTTTAATTTCAAGGTCGACGGAGTGCAGAAAAACTTGTTTTACGAATTATGTAAACATCTACAGGGACTTCAAGGTTTGAGCTACAATTCACTTCAAATGATACTTCTTCTATAGAACTTTATAACATTCATTTTTTTAGAAAGCCATATCAGTTAAACGTCCTTCGCGGGTTGAATTCAACAGAATATACATCGAAAACCATATTTCCTTACAATATACGCACTGAACAAGCATGCGTGCAACCCGCAAACTTTCTCTCTGCGACTGGTCATAACTTTTGCGAATTATTATTATTATTATTATTATTATTATTATTATTATTATTATTATTATTATTATTATTATTGGTAGTGTTATTTTAAAAATATAGCATTGAGTTCACGAGTTTCAGCCATTTAGCAAACAGAACGACAGGGAATTCGAGGAAACTGTACCACGCCCAATGCCCCGCGTTCACTGGAACTCTTCTCTGCAAAAACTTTATGAAAAAAGGGCATATTATCATGGAATAGTATCACCTTACGAGTATCGTAAGGTGTACGTTGTTGTTTCTCCGAGCTTATGAGAGTAGGCAAACATTTATGAAGTTGAACTTTCGAATTTACTTGAATTCAATGAAGGTTTATGATTAATATCAAAAGATTGTTTTTACTTTTTCTGACCCGCTTTCAATTGCATGTCTTGATTTGTCTCTTTCTCCTTGCGAGCATTGCTCAAACTCGTATAATCTGTGGAAAGTAAAACCGTTTCATCATTCTCAATGCAAGACATCACGCAAACCCAAACTTCGCTTTTTGGAAGAAAAAAATAGAAGCTAACAAACAAAAAACATTAAGAAGGAGATTCGTCTTTGTAGGGAATGTGAAAAAATACCGCGTAAAACTTTACGATTTCAGCATGGGAAGGCCCGGCTGTTAGGGTCCAATAAAACCACCTTGGGATGGTCCGGGAAACATCCGGAGACCTTGTTGATTTATGGACCGGTTTTCGAGTAGGGGGGAAGGGGGCTGCGCGCAGCATGGCATGCCGGCGCGGCGGATGGCAGGGCGGAGGCAGCAGCCGCCACGTCAGCTAGTGGTCAGTCCGGACCACGGGCGCGCCTTCGCCGCTGGTCCAACCTTGACCTCCCCGCGTGCGACGCTCGCGCGCGGGGCGCCGGCAAGCACAGCCACACAATCCTCCCCCGTCCCCGCCCTGCTTCCTCCACGCCACCCGCACCGCCACCGCCAGCCGCAACCGCACCGCAACCGCACCGCACCGACACCGCACCCACACCGCACCGCAAACCGCACCGCACCAGGCAACCGCCACCGCACCGCACCGCACGCGCACGTCGCACGCAACGCGCACCGCACGCACATCGCCCGCACCGCCCACAGCACCACTACCGCCCGCCCCCACCACACCGCCCCGCCCCGCCCCGCCCCGCCCCGCCCGCCCCGCCCCGCCCGCCCCGCCCCTCCCCGCCCCGCCCCGCCACACCGCCCGCCCCGCCCCTCCCGCCCCGCCCCGCCCCACCGCCCCGCCCCCCCCCCGCCCCGCACCACACCGCCCCCGCCCCGCCCGCCCCGCCCCGCACCCGCCCCGCCCGCACCGCCCCCACCCCGCCCCGCCATCGCACCAACCGCCCCGCTCCGCACCAACACCGCCCGCTCCGCCCCGCACCACACCGTCCCGCTCCGCCTCGCACCACACCGTCCCGCCCCGCCCCGCACCACACCGCCCGCACCACACCGCCCGCGGGCAGGCCATCCGCCGCCCGGCCGCCCGGCTTGCTTGCCTTGCCTTGCCGCGCCGCGCCACGCAGCCGCGAACGGAGCTTCCGGTCGGGCGGCAAGCGGCGAGGAAATGCCCAGAGCTGAGAGGTGCGTGGTGCGCCCGCCGAGGCGGTGTCCAAAGGCCGGCCACTGCTAGTTGGCCTTGCGGAGGCGGAGGCGACGCCGCGCCCGGGCAACGGCGGCGACTCAGAAGGCGCCCCTCGCGTGAGGGCGAACGGGCGATTGTTCCTTTCCCTGGCTTCGAAGGGGAACGAAAATGAGCCGGGTTTCGCATTGGTTTCTTTACTTCCTCTTCCTGCGACGACCTCATCATTGGCAGTCTAAAACTCGTTGATCGCTGCTTCTGTTGTACGTAATGCCAGTTTCGCCTAATAATTCACAGAATTCTCCAGTCCATGACGAATATTTCCCTTGTAATCTCTTGATAAGTATTTCCCTCACATTAATTTCCTAACCTCTCCGAGCAAATGCTCTCAAAATTACGCGATCGCGTTCAAACACGGGCCCATGTGTAATTTATAAGAAGTGAAAGTTTTAATAATCCTTTGTTCTGCAATACCCTCTGTGCAACGACTCCGAATTATTGGGAACACGAAGCCAGTCTCGAGTCTTGAGGAGCAAAAGTCCAGGTAAATGCGCTGAGCCGCGGTGACGATGCAGAAACCTCTCGCCTAACGGTCGCTTACTTGCGCTTTCCGCGCTCTGCATTCTTCTAACTTGCCAGTCTTCCAATGCAATTAAATTGGACATACTCTTGTTAATATACCAAGTTCCAATAAGGAACGTAGAAAATTTTTGTATTAATATGAAACTATCGAACAAAATATACATATCATTATTGAAAACGCATATACATAGAAATTCAAAATCTGCTGTTTAGGAGAATTTGCGAAATATTTACGTTCCAGTAAAAGATAACTTACATTTTTAATTTTCATAGATAAACAAGGCAAATTATTATTTATGGTATTGTAAAATATAGATAATACACGTATAATAAAAATCCTTAGTATTCGTAGCATTGAGAACTGTGAAGAACAATGCCTGGATTAATTCAATAAATATCAAGTATAATCATGCGTCGGAACAAATGTGTTTTCTAAGTGCGTATCTCTCTTTTACATAATCATTGATTGTGTAAGTACTAAGCTTCCTTCCTGATGTTTTGAAACCTCACTCACTACACACATTGTGATTTCTCTTGGAATACGTTTTTCTTCGGATTTCATTATACTTGTATCGAAACATGGCGTTAACTAATAACCAGAAATATAAATATAAATAAATAAAATACAATTGAAGAAATGCAATTTTCGTCCACTCAACTTTTCGTGATCACAAACTTTAATAATTTCGCAATAATACTTGGTTAATGTGATCGTTAATACGAATATTAACGAACATTTCAGTTTAATTCTTATTAATATTTCAGAAACTTCACAAATTTAGACATCAGTCATTTGAGAAGGCGTTTCCTCCTTGCCTCTTCTCTCATCGATCTGATGCTGAGTGAGTGGAAGGATGTCCTTTGTCAGTATTCCACTACCAATGCCTGAAATCCACAGTGATAGATCAATGATTAAAAGTGTAGGTGGTAGACCGGTGGTGGAACTGAGCGATGGTGGTAGGAGATACCGGGCAAGCGAGGAACTCTCGAGAAAACAAAACTGAGTGTTTAACCTGAAGTACGATGGACATAATACAAAACTTAAAATTTTATTGTTATTTGAAAACTTAAATGCTTGTCATGAGTAAACATGAGGACATTTATTTCTAACAGTGTCCCTCTTGTCAAAAAATTTGAAAATATTGTTCACGTCGTTTCTGGACTCGCCGCGAACTCGCTTTGGCCTAAACGATGACACAGGATAGACCACGATTTGAACGTCTGGACACGGAGGTGACGATCACCTGGTTTAAATGGAATGTGAACCCTGGCCCCCAGTCGTGGAAAACTACGAGTCGGCCGCGGATGGAACGATAGGCAAACGAGCGCCCTCGCAGATGCTCTTCCTTCGACGGGCCGCGTCCTCGATCGACCATCTTCCGCACGGGCTGCCCTGGGTCGGCGCCGCGCGCAGCCGACAGACGGTCGCCGCGGCGGCGAAGGCGGCGAGCGGCGCGCATGCCGATGCAAAGAGGGACGCCGCCCCCGCCGATTGCATCGCAGGCACGTCGCAGTGCGGTCGAAGCGGGGCGGCGCGGAATGGAGCGAGCGGGCGCGTGGGTGGCGGGGCGGAGCGGGGTGGAGAGGGGCGGGGCGGAGTGGAGCGGAGCGAGCGTGCGTGAGGGGGGCGGGGCGCCAGTCGATCCGGGACAGGAATGAGGGGCGCGGGTGTGGGGACGGGATGCCTTTCGCGTTTTCCGATAGCGGTTCACTCCACCGAATGTCGCGATGTTAAAGGAGAAGTCATTAGAGAAAGTCGTGGGAACAAAACTCGGGAAAACAAATTTCAAATTTTCTGATGCATTAAGACAAGACAATACTCTCAAGCTGGTACTAATATTAGTAACGTGTATAGGTCTCTCTGTATATCCTGTATTTCAGAATTGATGACACAAAAAGGGGTTGGATAATATCCTATTATCAGACAAGATTAAGAAATATTTTGGTATAAAATCAAATGTCCAAACTTGCTACTGTAAGTGTTCTTTAAAGTAAAGGGTTGGATTACTCACCGTGTTTTCTCAGATTCCTCGTATATCTACACAGTGAGGTAGAAATAGAAACCTCAATTACTTTACCTTTCAAATATTTCTTTACAAATACAGATGACCACTCATAATTTCTCGCCCATCAGAGCATATACATGCATTGTCTACCATTCTCTTCCGCTGTCGCTCACACGAGTCACGAAACCTTTGAGGGCGCCGTTACGGTCTACTTGTGGAGCGCAAGTACTTCACAACAGCTCGTCACGCACATCCGGCACTTCACCGTAGTCCTTGGCCGCGCGTAATCGTGGAGACCGACCATCGTCGTAGCCCGCAGCTTTTTCATTGCCCCTGTCATCATCACAACAGGCCTGCTATCACAGATCCTTCAAACAGCGCCCTGACCGGCGTTCATGCACAAGATACCCACAGTACACCGACACGCTACCCGCAGTAACATCTATCGCAACTCCTACCAAGGTTACTTGGTGGATATTACAGTTACTTCCGGCCCAGACAAAGAACGGGGAAATAGCAGAAAAAACGTATATCTTTTTTTTTTTAGTACGAAGATTCTGGAAGGACACTGGAGTTTACAATTTATTGACTCGGGCAGCAAGTAGGGAAGATAAAAACTAATGGTCTCAACTTCGTTACTTCTGCTGCTAAAACTACGGTTATTCAGTGGAATAACTGCAGCATAAGGTTCTTCAACATAATGGAAGAAACTTTGGAAATATAAATGCTAGTAAGGAAATCGTGTGATAAAACCATGTTGTTAAATGGTTTCCATAATATGCAAAAACGATATGTATCAAATTCCCAAGAAAAAGTTAAGAATTTGAAATGTCCATTAAAAGTGACAGCTGTTGCGAACTTTTCAAGAGTGACTCTCATCCCAAAGGTCTGCTCGAGAACAGTTTGACACTATTCTTCCCTAGCTTTCGAATTCCATCTTAACTTTACCTCTAGCATCTGGTTTGGAGGCATTATCTGGTTTTCACCAGTCTTTAGCCATTGATGAATGGTGTACAGTGTATAATCAAGAGCAGAAAAGCGGGACACCTTTTGCCCAGAGCTTTGAGGAAATGAGAAGAGACTCCGGACTAGATTTCGAATAACCTGCCTGATTCCTTACCCTCATGCCCTCCAGGGTTCCCCAGTTACTTCCCCTCTTCCCATTTACTGTACTTGATAGCCTTGGTCACATCTACAGCATAAAGTGCCGCAATATTTTACCACCGCCACGATAAACAGTCTTCGCGAAGGTTAAGAGCGCGCGCGCTCAGTGTTTATCTCCAATCGCCTTCGCGCACGAGCAAAAACACATTGCTTAGATACATAGTAAATGGCCCTAAGTTGCATACATTCATCTCAAACAATTGTCTGTTTTTTCTGTCTTCTCTCGAGAATAACCTACTACTTTGTTTTGAGAAAGGGGATCGCCGCATATTAGTATTTTTCTGCGGCATATTTTTTTCATGATAGCTCAGATTCTTTCTTCCGTTTCATCTCGTAATTTCTTCCGAAGATTATCTCCTATCCTACTTGTATCTCCTCCACTGAGCCGCTTAATAACTCGTCTTCTCGTCGACAGATGAGGGCGCCGCAATCGCTGGTCCGTAATCCGATTAGCTTCGGCGGCTGCTCAACGATTGGGTCCTGTTCGCCTCGAGGGATGTCCTCCTTGCTGCGGCCCGCTCCGCCCACTGCTCAGATTTACCGCACCGATTTCGTTCATTGCGGAGGAGCTGCCGCGAGCGTGCACGCTTCATCGGGGAAGCTCCAGTGAATGTCTCGCTTGAGAATTTGAATTTTCGTGTTGGAAAGGTGACCGCAAAAGATAGCCCGCAGGCGAAGCCCCGGCTGGTAAATCGCCCCGTGTCCCACATCTCCACCCACCCGCACTTTCGACCTCAACCGCTCGCGCCTTTCCTCTCCCTCGCACAATCTCCGCGCTCGCTCTCTCTGGCTCCCCGATCTCCCGGCCGCTCGCTCACCCACCCAATCTCTCAGATCATACGCTCCCGCCCAGCGTTTACTCTTACTGGCCACCCGCGGCAGACTCCCCTGAACACCTGCGCTGCCTCTGCGTGACCCGTTAGACGTCTGGCGCCCGCTGGCGGTGCTGAAACCATGTGTGATTCGATGAAATATCGCCCCCTTACGCGTTTTATTGCCGGCGAAGAGGTAGCTACCGCTTTCGATAATCACAGTTCGAGAAGTCTCCTCGCAACTGGCAATTCTCTTTTGATATTTTGTTGGTTGCATTTTTTCCATAATTGGTCTGCAATAAGAACGTATTCATCTTTTAATCGAAGGCCTCATAACCCGATTCAGTCAACAAAAAAAAAATAGCTTCGACCATTTGATTTCGGTTACGACTGAAATATGCGAAATTATGGACCTACATATCTAACAACTTCCGCTATTCAACTTACCAGAAGATTTAATAAACCATTCCAATCTTAGGGTATTCTTAACAAAATGCTTGAATGACATTTTATAAATAATAATAATAATAATAATAATAATAATAATAATAATATCTAATTTTTCATCTCGAGAATTTTTATCGACATCAGAACTCAAATTTATAAAATGCTCGATTGAAACTTTCATTTGCTGTTGTTTATTTTCATAGCTTAGTTGAAAAAGACTCAAATTCAGATTCACAGAATTTTGCACAAAAAAAACAAACGATGTCTTTATAGTTTGTGCTGTTTTTATTGTTTGTACAAACAATTACACCGTTGAAACGGTGTAACAATATTATGTTGGCAACTTTCAGTACTTCTGTGAAATCTATATTATTGTACTCGAGATTTCCAAATCGACTTTAAACATTTTCGTAATGTAGACAATAAGTAATGGGTTTAAAAAGAGTTAAAGTTTCCGATGATGTTTATCCGAAATCGGACCATTGCTGATTTATTCGCTCAAATGGGATATCAACGAAAATCCTCCGTAATACAATTATTTGACAAACTTGGCAGTGTAATTGCCATACTTGAGTGAGATTTGGCTTCTACGTGAGGGAGAAAATTCACAATAGGAGATTCATTGGACTATCTTTTCCAAAATTAACACAAATAATGGATATGGCGTCATGATGAAATTGGACATCAAAAATGTTGGAGTTGAGAATATTTAACTAGAATGTCATAAATAGACCTTTCCTTCTATTTAGTTATTTGGAAAGAATCTTTTTCAAAAATTCATACTGGTCAATGATAGTTTTCGACGTGATCACACCTTCCGAAAGTCGGATTAACAGTGAACTGATTTCCTCCTTCGTCTCCTTCATTGCCAACTCCTCAAAAGTGAAAGCAACCGCTAATGAGATGATGTAGTCACATTCCAAAACGTGACAGTGACCGAAATTCCTTGACCTCGAGAATGACAAGTGAAAAGATTACTCCCCCGAGCGGCGTCATGTTTCTTCAGTCACTCTTTCTTCAGTCATACCTTTTTTATAATTTATTTCATGAGCTTAAACAAGAGGTACTTTAATCTCGGTTATTTCGATTATGGAAATTGTACGACATTCTTAGTAACCTTGACTCCCTTTTGCCACTGTTGAAATTGTTCTTCGGGCAGCAAAGGTCACATGCCTGCTTGCATCCGAACAAAGTGGATGACTGATGCTTGTTCAAAATAACTCGTTAGCATGCTCAGATCCTCGTAAAAGTGTGTAAAAATGTCACGGTTTGGCATTATCTTGGAACATGATAGAAGCATATAAAATTATAAATTCTTTCTTTCTGAATTCCCTAAAGGATTTAATGGAGTAAATGGACATCTTATAAGATAAAGCACCTTTGCCTTACTGCAACAGGACTGTAATCCTGTGTCCGGTCTTTAAAGACATTCTACAATACAACGCACAGAACAACTTTTTGCAATCAAAATTGCATTACATGAAACACCATCCAAAGGCGCTTCTTTTAAATTCAATGTTCTTGAATTAGTTGTCTAATTCAATTTTTTCTTGTCCTGTCTATTTAATATGTGAGTATTTTATTTTTATTTCAATGTCAATTAATACATCATTTAATTTCTTGTTTTTTGTTGTTGTGGTTTTTCAGGGGCTGTCGCTCTTATGCTGGCAGGCGTGTTTGCAGTGTGCACCGGTATTCTTATTTTGACTCTGGATCCTTACACGCTCGTCTTCAATGCGGTGAGTAATGATCAAAAATGACTTACCTGCCAAAAATGCTTTTAAAAACTCTGTCCGTCCGTATCATGTTACCTTACACTTATGATCTCCTTATATTATTAGCAACAATATCCGAAAGAATTTATGCAAGTTTACTTCAATTACTGTAATTGAACGAATTAAAAGTTCGTTTGTACGAGAGAGTTTTTGGCATTGACGCAATTTTTTAATTTAAAATTACTAAATATTTTAAATTAGCTTTATCCACTTCGGTTATCTAAAGTAAAACTTTACAAAACCGAGATCAGTTTCTTAATACCAGTTATTTGAACAACTGTAGTCTAATAATCCATGGCTCTTATTTAACAATAATAATCAGCAATGTAAGTAAATAATGTCAGTAATTAATGTTCGAAATGTAAGTAATATTCTAGTAAACACTACAACTAATGTATGGCTTACGATGAACTATTATCAACATCCGTATGTCGCATTTCGCATGATGAACAGCGAAATTTCAAAATTTAAATAAGTTCATTGGAATTTTTACAATTGGTTAAAACGTACGATACTATTCGTATCGTAGTCTTATCTTATTGCAACCATAACAAACTCGGTCTAACGGCTTCGTTTTATAATTCTCCAATCTCATGTAGTCATTACTAGAGATTTTACGATACTCCTTGGTAAATAACTATTACAGCATGTCATTGAGACTTTTATTATTACACCCGATGAATAACGAATTCTTATTATAAATATTTTGTAATTATTTTTAAAAAATGGCAAGTATTGAAAGTCAACTTTCTCTGATATTTACCCCGGCCATGAAATCCTACGATGCAGTCGTTTGCTCGTGAGATATGGAAAACTTATTTACATCCGTAAACGAACTATTGATTTGATATTTTAGAACTGTAAAAAAAAATTGCAACCCAAACTACTGCCTCTGCTCCAACTACGCAAAGGTTTTCAACAAAGCGTGTGCATAGTGAATCAACCTTTATGTCCAAAAGAAAAACAAGGGGCCATTTGCTCAATGGATCTGGGAAACGTTGGGTAGATAGAGCATGTAGTACCACAAAAGCATCAATATGCTGTTTATAACATTAATAACAATAATAATAATAATGATGTCTAAAGTATAAATAATTAACATGTCAAAGTGTAAAATTAGTATTTCGTTCTGGAAGTCACGGCAACCCCCATCTGTTTGCAGAAAGTGCAACTCAATGATGGTGGAGAGGCGTTCGAGTTGTGGCGCAAACCTCCTGTCGATCTCTACCTCAAGGTGTGGCTGTTCAATGTCACCAATGCTGACGCTTTTATGAATGGAGAAGACGAAAAACTACACTTTGAGGAAGTCGGACCCTACATATACAGGTAAATGAAGTGTTTAAAGTAAGTGTGAGACATGGAAATAAAAAAAAGCAAATTATAGACCTCGTAAGAAAAATTATATATAACGAATTTCTTGAAAATCTTATTTCTAAGTAATTTCAAAGGTTTCAAGTTTCTTGAGATTGGGAATCGTAAGTTACTATTTAATTAAAAGCTTTTTCTTAAAAATGTGGCTTTAGGGATTGCAGGATTTAAAATAAATGTTGAAATTTTGAAGGTAATGTCATATTTTTTCTGGGTTTCCATTAATGCTGTTGACATTTTTTGTAGAGAATTGTTGGAGCATGCTGATGTACATTTCAATGATAACAACACTCTCACAGCGCATCCAAAGCACCCTCTGGTTTGGGCTGAAGATTTAAATACCCATCGTGAGGATGACTTGCTGATTCTTCCGAATATTGCGTTATTGGTAAGTTTATTTGAAGAAGTATAAATTCCCTTTCAAGAACGCCTGAAATATGCCTTCAAATCATTCTAGACGATTGATGGATGGATTGATGAGTTAAGTCATTGCATTATCATTAAATCAATTGTACAACCAATTTTTTTTCAAAATAGTAGTTTCCACTAAACTTTGAATTATATAATTTGTAGTTTTTAAGTGAAGGCTGAAGTGTTAAGAGGGGTAGAAGATCCAATATAACATTACGTAACCATTACCAATAATACAGGAGTTCGGTTGTGGCCATTCTTCCATTTCTTACGTGTGGATACCATTTATGAGTAATGTATAGTTGAATCATACCCCTCCCCCCATGAGAAATAACGGTTTCGTTGTTCATAATAAAATTTCAATGCAAATGGAAACTAAAGGCAATATCCTCAGTTTTCTAAATATTCTTAGAAGTTGGTAATTTGAATTTACGTGTGTGAAGTGGTGCTATGCCACCGTGCCACATTGTGTGAGCGCAAATACCCTTCTTAGCCTCTTTCGGGCTTTCTCTCTAATCTTACATGTCTTATCCACAGAGTATTGCCAGTGTTATAAAAGATGCATCATACTTCACGAGGTTGGGTCTCAATCTATTGATAAAGCAGACAGATTCTCAGCCACTGGTGCAGATGACTGCCCGAGAATTCATGTTCGGATACGAAACATCGCTGACAACTCTTGGAAATAAAGTTTTGCCCTCGTGGATATTCTTCGACAAAATCGGCCTCATCGACCGTGTAAGTAGAACAAGTAGCAACTTTTTATTGTTTATTTTAAATTATTTTTCAGCGAATCTTTCTTGAAAATTGGCTCACGAATAAAAAATACGGCAATTATTGTAGCTTATTATTAAAATTGGATATAAATGTTTTGCTTAAGATGATTGGATATAAATGTTTTGCTTAAGATGATTGGCGGCAATACTGTCGACTTAATAATAATTATGATTTTTTTCTCTCCAGATGTACGACTTTACGGGTGATACGATGACAGTGCACACTGGCGTTGACGATGTCCGCAAATCGGGCCTCATTGACAGATATAGAGGCCTGCATTACATCCCTGACTGGCCAGAAAATTGTAGTATCGCTGAAGGAGCCAGCGACGGCAGTAAATTCGCCTCGCTGATCACACCGAACGATCAGCTAGTCATGTACCGTAAATCGCTGTGTCGTGCTATGCCTATGGTAAGTGTGAACGATTAATAACTTGAAGGTCTCATCACAATAATTATTTATGAATGAATCCTAAAGTTTTTGTAGGATCTATATGAAGGGTAATTCTTAATACTCCCAATTTGTTTATACGACCCGGCAATTTGTTTTCTTAAAGTTAACATAATTTGAACATGTTTTACAATGCATTTGTTTGTACATTTTGTTTCTTGAAACATCAGATTGCAATGCCGTAGATATTCCCAGACAGAGTCAGTATGGCAGCAAATTTGGCAAACAATGAAGCAATGTTTTTCTGTAATTAAAATAGGTAGTATTTTTCAGAAAAAATAAAATTAAATAAAAATTTAGCTTTGAAATGGAAATGCTTCATTCATATTGTTTTGACATTATCACCAAAAAAAACAAACAAGTATTCAAACAATGTTTTACTTCAAAAAATTAGCAAATGATTGATGAGACTACGAAGGGAGGCTTGCCTGCATATGTCTACACCTGGAAAGATGGCATACTAGACAATGGTCTCAGAGATCCCCATAACAAATGTTTCTGTCGGCACAACAGATGCCTTCCAGAAGGAATTATGGATGTTGAAGAATGCTACTATGGTAAGTGCACTTATTAGCGACATCTTTCAATTCTTTTTATAGAGAAATATTTACTTTTTATTATATAAAAAATTGCCTTCTTTCAGGTTTTCCTATTGTTTTGTCATACCCTCATTTCTATCTTGCTGATCCAGCAGTCAGAAATATGACAGTAGGAAGCTTCCCAGATAAGGAGAAACATGAAACAAGATTTTTCATTGAACCTGTAAGTTCCTTTTTATATAACAGACTACTAATTGTTTTAAATGTATAATTGAAAATTAAATGTATTAAAGACAATCCACATTGAAATGTCGAATACTGATTGAACAGAAAGTAAAATTTTACCATAAAAGTGGAAAATATGCTTGTTTTTATATTTATGTTAGTATGTTGTGTTGTATTGTTATTGTCTTGTATTGATGTGTAATTATGTTATGTTATGTGGTTTTGTATTTAAGTTTAATATAAACACTTAATGACTGAAAAATTACTAAACTATTTCTGTTCTGTTAATATGTCAATTAACATTTAGATATAAGGTGATAAAGTAGCAAAGAATCATATAATGTTAAATATTTTCATTCAATTTACAATCTCATAAGTGTTGTTAACTCATGGAATTTAACTTGCAATAAACCAGGTTAGAACCATTTGTAATGTGTAAATCACTTTTTACAATATTACAAATACAAATTAACATCTTCATTATAACTTGTATCTCTCTCATTTTTGTGATTAAAATACTACATCTAATGAAACTACTCTAAATCTGCCTATTTCAGAGATCTGGGCTCCCACTCCAAACTAATGTTCGTATGCAGATCAACATGGCTTTAGGAGATGTCAGCCGCATCCATCGAGTGCCACGTTTCAGTAATTTAATATTCCCTATGCTCTGGTTGGAAATAGTAAGTGGCAATGTTACAAGAGATTTATTTGTTATTGTATTTTTGTCGTGATACCAAACTAACTTTAATATTCTTCTTTTGCAGACTGTTGAAAGATTACCACCATTTCTTCAAAATAAATTCTTCTTTTATCTTGAAATTGCTCCCATAATGCTAAAATTTATTCTCTACGCTTCTCTTATTGGTGGACCACTGTTGTTAATAGGAAGCATACTTCGTGTGTATTGGAATTCCTTTTTCAAAAAGGAAATAAAAGAAGATTATAGCACAGACATGGAATTCTCTCAGAAACACATGAACATAATTCGAGCAGATAGGCGGTCCAGTCTAAAAGCAAAGGAAATGGATGTTTACTTTACTTCACTGCTGATGAGCCCTTCCATTGATGAAGAGAATAGCACATCGAAAGACAATGATACTGTTTGATATTTTGATTATACAAACTTAAAGATACACAATCCCTTGTGTTGCAGATGTGTGTGCCAGCAAAAGGAGTGTGAAATCAAGACTGAATACCTGCAAGAAACTATTTGATTTCACTTGTGAGAAAGTTTTACTGCCTATTTTAGAAAGTGTAAATATACAAAGAGTAAATGCTACAACTTATATTCAGTTATACTGAATCAAAAAGTAGAACTGCATTTCATAATATCTCTGAATGAAAGACTACATTATTTATTTGTGCATTTGATATTTTCGAAAATCAATGCATATTTCATTATTTTCTCTTACGTTAAAAAGGATTAAGTATGACTGAATATATTTTAATTTATTTTAGAAACACCACTAATAACAATATATTCTTCTTCAGATACATTGCTCAACTTTAGTGTTTAGAATAGTTACCATTTATATATTGCTGAGCTTTAATAGCCTTTATATAAGATGAAAACTGATTATAAGTATATGAGAATTATGTTTAACTGTAACCAAATATGAAGAAATAATCTGGGTATCGACGGGTAGAGGTTCCTAGTATCCTTTTATTGTATTTATTTTACTTAGGCAAAGAATTTGCCCCCCTCTCAATCTGCTCTGCCACTCGATCCCTCTCAGAAGCCCATGAAGATAAAGTGACATAGTAATTGAAGCCATTAGTTCTTTAGTTAGATAAAAGAACTTTTAGCGTCTACTGAGAGAAAATTATAGATGACATTCTTACCTTCTCAGTACAAGTGCTATTGTCAATCTATATTAAAAGATGAACGTGGTTTGTTAATGTTTTGAGACATTGTTGTGATTTATTTAATAATAAAATCTGAAAAATATTGGATTTTTAACATGCTATGTTAATGTAAAGTTGGATATTAAAATGCTTTCGTGTAAGGAAAATGTACAGGTTATTTTGAGAGGATTGTGAAATTGTATTTTAGTGGTTGTGTATTTTTATGTGAAATCATTTTCTATTATGTTAAAAAGCATGTTGAGAATTCGAAATAAAAAATTAAGAATTATTGTTAAATGGATTTGAAATAGAGAGAATGTTGCTGATTTATCCAGTTTTAATGGGTAATAAACATGTGTATATTTTATTCACTTTTTTGTTTACTTTGAAATCAACATTTTAAGCCTTTGCTCTTAGTGGTTCATCATATTTCCATACTCCTTCTCCATCTCTTCTGCCCCCTTAAGTTTTCTCATTTTTGAATTTTGGAAATTTTTTCAAAATTCAGTAGTATATGAATTATACATTACACTAACCTACGTGTCTTAAATATTGCAATGAAGTTCATTTTCTATTTATTTTCATCAATTATAAGTGAAATAGACCAAAAACTGTAAAAAAATATTATGGACCTTGGAACCAAAAATTACTTTTATCATTTTTAAGCAATTTGGAGTAAATACATAACAATTCTATGATTTGAAGTACTCGTATTTTTTGTTATTTTTATTAAATATTTAGGAAAATATTTTTTTCTTATAGAAAGGAGTACAAGGCTGGTAACCTTACCGGGAAAATCTCTCATTTGAGAGCTTCAAGTGAAACAACAAGACTGCCACTATAACAAGTCTAGCAAGAATAAGGAAAAACTATTGGGAATAACGGATACACTAATTTTAGATATATGGAATGAGAGGCTTAAATAATAAAGAAGCAGAATTGGAGAGAACTAAAAGCAAGGAATGTAAATACTGCAGTTATTTCTGAAACCAAAAAGAAGGGTAGAGGGACAAAAGATCTCTATGACTATACATTAACATGTAGTGGAGCAGACACCAATAAAAGAGCAGGGGGGTTACTTTATTAATGGATTCAAAAAATGGAAAAAGATCTTAGACTGTTCGTATTACAGTGACAGGATACTTGAAACACGGTTCCAAATTCCAAGAGAACATCTCACTGTACTAGCTGTGAATGCACCAGAAAAAGGTAGAACAGAAGATACTGATGCATTTTATGAAACTCTTCGAAGTATTTTTGATAATAGTAACAAAAGTGATTATATAATCGTCACTCACACAGCCAAGATCATGCACATGTCTCTGGCTGCCGATGCCTACAACTTCAGAAAATTAGCACTTCAAATTAGAAATATTCATGTTTACAGCCGCAGTGATATATCATCCAATCACTACTTTGTAGTCCTAAAAATCTCAATTATAGCTTGATGGAAGAAAAATATGACAAAACAGCATAAAAACGGGAAATCTATGAGCAGAGATATTGACAAAGTCCATCTCTTAAGGGAAGAAAGTATAAGAAATCTCTATCAATCATGTCTGAAACAATAAATACACATACACCTTTAGAAGATAATATTAACGCAGAATGGAGCAAGATTGAAAATATTACAAACACTGCTGCATATGAAGTTATTGGTAAAAGAAGTAAACACAGAAAAAGAAAAGGCCTGAAAATATGAAACAATGAGATTGGTGAAGCCATACATGAAAAGAAAAATGCCTATCAGGAATTACTACAGAAATCAACACAAGAAAGGAAAGAAAATACATACAAAAAAGGAACCACGCAAAGCAATTAGTGAAAAAAGCTCACCAATAATCATGGGACCTTTTTATCAGCACAATTGTAAATGATGTCCATAGTAGGCAGAATCTGGCTTTCAATATCATGAAACATCAGGCAAGGAAGATCGTGTGCAGACAATATGTTTAACATATACCAAATAATTGAAAAGAGACGAGAGTTCAATTAAGAGACCCACATAGCTTTTATAGATTATGAGAATGCATTTTATAGAGTTAATTGTGAACATTCAATCACACCTATACAACTTCTATATGCAGATGACCATATAATTATAGAAGATAACAAAATAAGTCTGCCAAAGACCTTGTACTAACTAAATAGAATATGCAAATCATATTGTCTCTCAATATCTGTCTTTAAAACTTAAGTGATGGCATTCAGAGGGAAACATCCTATACTAAAATAATAACAGAAGACAAATTATTAGAGCGAATAAAACATTTTAATTATTTGGGTTGTGATATCACATACAACTGCAGTAATTATATGAAAACAAAATTACGTTTCCAACATACTTGCAGAACAATAAACCTTCACAATAAAACTAGAAAAGAGATTGTTAAAATTGTACAAAGTCATGGCAGTACCAGAGAAGTGTTGGACGAGTTGGAGCCGCAGCAATCCCAGTCCTCCATCTCTCTTGGCCAGATTGAATAAGCCATCTGCAGTTCTCTTATGCAGACGTAGGAACTGTTTGACAGCCACTCTAATTTGATCGTCCTCTTCCCTGAGAATCGACATTGATGGCATGGGTAGGACCAATTGATAAAGGTAATGTGGGATTATGCAGGTATGAAGTAATGCCAACTTCTGAGTAGGCTTTAAATGCGCCTTTTGAAGCCTCGATACTACTCTTCCATTAAATTCAATATGGATGCTTTAGATGGGAAGCCGTTCCAGATTGAGTAGTTCACTTCCATGTATGTAAGAGTATGATCATTGCTGACAAGGGGAATTCTGTCCCCCAACCTTTCCAGACAGGGGTCCTCAATGAACCAGGATCGTTCAAAAGTTGTAATTTGAAATGATGAACATTTTCGGGCAATGTCATTCCGAGGGCCCCAAGATATTCCACCACAATATCAACCAATTCTTGAGCTCCCGGAGCATCTTTTGCTAATAGCACCAGATCGTCAGCAAATGCTAACACGGACACACTCCTACCCAATAGCGTGTATCCTGACATTTGCAAATTTCTCAAGCAGGCACTCCCTGATGAAATTAAAAACGAGTGGGGACAAGGGATCCCCCTGTTTTACTCCTCTACAAATTGGCACCTCAATTCCTTTCGAGGGGTGCTGACGGTGGAAACATTGGCGTAAGAGTCCATTACTAAATTGGTAAAGGCGTCAGGGATACCTTTTCCTGAACAGAGCCCACCGAATCGCTGCTGTCAAATGCTTTGGATGTATCTAGCCACCAGCACCTCTGTATTTTTCATGTCACTGACTGCTTCATGAAGAATTTGAATATTAGCAAAGCAGCCAGGTTCAGGGATAAACCCTTTCTGGCGTGGACTGAACTTCACCACGAATCGAGCGTTTGTCCATAAGGCCCCAAATAACCGCACAGAAGAGAACTAATTGTGATGGGGCGATAGTTAGTGACCACCGTATTATCCTTACCCTCTTTTGGTAAAATGATGGTGCGATTAGTTTTCCACCCAGAAGGCACAAAGCCACTGTATAAAATTTGGGTGTACAATACACAATATTTCAATTTTTGCTCCTGAGGATTTGTGGCTAACTTTTATCTTATCAGGTTCTGGATCTGTGGCATTTTTCATCCCGGCCAGACGACTTTTCATTTCGGCAACGTGAACCGCGTATAGAATTGTGCCCGGGTCCATTGCAGGTGTCAACAATTTATCACGCTCTCTTAATTCGGAAAGCCGAACCGGGGGGTTGTAACCCCAAATGGATTTGTACAGACCATTAACCTCATCCCTGTTAAGGGGCTGTTTATCGACACTACTACAGTCAATGCCGGTTCTAATGCCCTTTGCCAAAAGCGCTGGATCATTCTTGAAAAGGTCCTGTGCCCTGGCATAAGAGTAGTGCTTCCTAGCGCGTTTGCCTCCATGACTACGGGGCCTTTTAGAACTGGTGGTGGTGGTTACAGTGGAGCCGCCTAAGATCTGCAGAAACGTGGTATAGGTCTTGTCCAATTGGTTCTGGGATACAATATTTGTTTTGAGTTCATTTCCCACCTCAATGAGCTCTTCATCTACATTAGAAGTGCCCCAGGTTCCTATCCAAGTTGAAATTTTTTCCTTCCAGTTAGGCTTGGCTTCTGGTGTGGCTCTGTTTCAGAAGACAAGTTTCAGTAGTTACGGCTCCGAGCCGAGGTCTCCTGTCCTAACCGACCAGCGGTGTCGGAATGAGCCATGTCAACAGCAGATAAAACAGAATCAGGGGGACCGGCTCAGCCGAAAGTTCCTGATTCATCTCTGAAACTATAACGGCCTCCTCGTTAGGGGATCTCTCCCAATCTGCTTCCGGGGAAGCAATGTCTACCATTGTGAGTTCCTCAGGGCCACTGCTTATGGGTCGAGGTTTTGGAAGGGAGTCGGCATAAGCCTGTTTGTTTATCTCGACCTGTAAAGACGTTTCCACAAGACACGTGTTAGAGTAGGGGATCATCGGCTTCCTTCCTGTCCTGTCCCAATGGTAGGCCTTCCATACAGAGGAGAAGAAGGAATCAGCATAGGGATTTGGCTTACGACCCGGCGAGGCGATGAGATAACAGCAGCACTAGTAGAAGGTCTAGCTAAATCATCGGACCACCGACCGTCAGATGGGGACGAAGATAACTGCACAAATGCAATGGTTGCTAAATATCTTCGGTATGTAGTCTCTTTTCTTTTTTAGCCTACACCACTGTGACCCTGGGCGACATTAGACCTCCAAGAACGTGTTTTCTACTAGGAACAGTGAATCACCTAAACCGGTCTACTACCTACTAAATCAATTTCTCAAAGAAATACAAATAGAATTTCCATTAATTAAACAAAATTTAATTCTTAAAAGACCTCCTTGCATAACACCAAAGATAAAAATTAATAAAGATCTATGTGTACACTCCAAGAAAGATACAAATCCACTAATATATCAATCTCTCTACAATGAAATTAAAAACAAATACGAGAACTACATAAGTGTCTTCACAGATGATTCAAAAACAAAAAATGGGTCAGGATGTGCTTTAATGGTTAATAATATCATTGAACATATCAAACTCAATGATATTTGTTTAATTATCTACTGTGAAGCGTATGCTATACTGAAAGCTTTAAAGAATGTATCATTATCCAAAAAAAAAAATTATAATATATACAGACTCTCGAAGTGTAATTGAATGCTTGAAGCATAACAGAGAAGAACCCATAATAATTGATTGGGTGTTTTTATTCCATTTGTTTATAAACTAGTTTCTCATGCGAAATTCATCTAATTTAATAAGCATTTCAAATAATGAAAATATCACTTTCACATTTTGTAACCGAGAAACAGCAAAATGTTAATTAAG